GAAAATCATGATAGAGATGTATAAACACAAAATACATGAAACACACATGACATACATAACACATGTGAAGCACATACCAAACACATGTGAATGACGTACAAAACACATATGAAGGACATACAAAACAAATGATAGAGATGAAGCACACACAGAACACATGTGAAACACATGACACACACAAAACACATACCAAATACATACAAAACACATGAAACGCAAGAAACACAAACCTACACACATGAAACTGAAACCTTCAATCATCCTCTAGGTTGAATATCAAATCATCACACAACATATTCACCAATCTTTCAACTTTCAAAGTGTTCTTGTTTCCTAAAAATCCTCAATATCTCATCAATGGGTGATGGAAGAAGGTGTAGCTTGTCAATGCAGATGACACAATACCAAGTAAGCCTTGACAATGCGGATGCAGAAATGATCAACGCAGAAGCTAAATTTGCAAACTCGCTTATGCAATATGAGCACCATGTCGAATCTAGTTATCGTGGTTCTGTCACGGGACGTTCATTTCTGTACCATGCCAACCACGGCTATCTCCAAGCTTCCCTTCCATAAAGTGCATGCTTTGTTGATGACCTTCCACCGATTGTAAACACCACCACCTTCCCTCCCCCCACCGTTGCTGTTTTCATGGAACATATCAACGATTTTATCCCACAAAACATTTTTATTTTGATTCATGCCAACTGCACCATCTTCGCTAATAGAAACTCATGCCAAGCATAAAGCAACATCTTCCTCACCGGTCCAATTACGACCTCTAATATGGCCATCTTGAAAAATTTGGAAATAGGAAGAAACGGTAGAAAGAAAAATTGGAAGAATTGTACGAGAAAAGTGAGTTTTGTGTGCATGTTTGAATAAATACATAGGTATTTATAGAGTTTTTTGGTGAATTCTGAGTTAAATAATTTTTTTTAAAATTATTTTAGCCGTTGGATTTAAATTTCAACCGTTAGATCTTTTTTTTTAACGTTAGATTTGATTATATTCGATCTTAGCTGTTGAATTCAATAAATATATAAATATAAAACTAAAAAAAAATTGGTTTGAATCTAGGATCCAACGGCCTGTTGATTCCATTCGTTCGATCAAAAGAGTTGTTTGCTCGCCTGGGAAACGTGACCGACATGCCCACATGGGTGGGGCCCAGTTGGTCTGAGTGCTCGCGTGTCGTGCACGTTTGGCACTGGTGGGGCCCACATCGAATCCTGGGTTATTTTCTGGGTAGAATTTGACTTTTGTTTGACTTTTAGGTTTTAGCCCACAAATTTAGCTTGGGTTGGGTTTTGGGGGGGGGGGGGGATGAGTGGGATAACTAATTTGGCTTTTAGCCCAGGGTTGGGTTTGGTCTAAGTGAGTATTTGATTAGTTATAGATATATGAATAAGAGTAATTCTAGGTAAATCAATTGTTTAGACCAAATTTGCAAATTGTGTGATGTGTCACCAATAGAAAATAAACACACTAATAAACACTTAAGTAATAATTCAATCATCAACAACCACGTCATATTGTTTACAAAATATAGTTTAAATATATGGTCTCCCTGGCATTATCATATGAATAAACTATGCCTTGTGCATTCAAGTTACATTCTGAATGTGCTAGAGTTTTAATCAATGACATGAATCTCAATTGAACTCAGCTTTGAGAAAATTGCCTCGCACCTAATGTCAGAATTTGAGATGAAAGATCTTGAAAAACTAGAAACTGTCTCGGCCTGAATTCAAAATTAGTAATATTATCCGCAAGCGTATTGAGCAATATAATAGAGAAGTAAAGATTTTAAATACCGATACTGTACTTGCAAGTCTTGCATTATTCAGACGATATTCTGGTTCACCAATCGAACTACACCAAAAGGTGTTGCCTACCCATTATCATCTGTGCATTAGATGCAAAGGAGACCTCTGAAGAGGTAATGGAGCCTAAAGTTCCATATCTGAATGTAGTTGGCGTTTATTGTACTTAGCTCAAAGCACTAGAATGGACATCTCATTTGTTGTTAATCTTTTGGCAAGATGCAGCATTACGCTGCATACCACCACTGAATTGGTGATCAAGACATCCTACGTTACGTTAAAGGTATTTTGGATTTGGGTTTGTTCTATCATGGTGCATCTCAAAATACATTACACTCTCTGGTATTTGAAATGATGTTTGCCTTGTTAGTTTGCTAACACGGGTTACTTGTTTGAACCACGCAAGACATCTACTTGAGTATTTACACATTCAATGGGAGTAGTGTTGTCAGAATTATGACATGTGTGATTGTGTAAATGCTAGTAGATTATGTATAGAAATCCTATGAGATAGGTTGTGACATCCCACATTGCCCAGGGGAGTGATCCTTAAATGTATATTCCCATCCTTATCTAGCATGAGACCTTTTGGGAGCTCATTGGCTTTGGGTTCCGTAGGAACTCCGAAGTTAAGTGAGATGGGTGACCACTGGGAAGTTGCTCGTGAGTTTCCAAAAACAAAACCGTGAGGGAATGGTAAGCCCAAAGCTGACAATATCGTGCTACGTTGGTAGAGCGAGCTCGGGAAGTGGCCCCCCGGGGCCAGAATGTGACAATTTGGTATCAGAGCCTAACACTGGTCGTGGTGTGCCGACGAGGACGTCGAGCCCCTAAGGGGGATGGATTGTGACATCCCACATCACCCGGGGAAGTGATCCTTATATGTATATTCCCATCCCTACCTAACACGAGGCCTTTTGGGAGCTCACTAGCTTCGGGTTCCATGGGAACTCCGAAGTTAAGCGAGTAGCGTGCAAGAGCACTCCCAGGATGGGTGACCCATTGGGAAGTTCTCGTGTGAGTTCCCAAAAACAAAACCGTGATGGCGTGGTCGGGGCCCAAAGCGGACAATATCGTGCTACGGTGGTGGAGCGGGCCCGGGAAGTGGTCCCCCCCGGGCCGGGATGTGACATAGGTACTCCTATTTTAGTCCGAATTGGTTTAAAAATTAGATTATATAAACTTAATTAATACATTTGTGTCTAAAAACGTGAGACGTGTAATATTTAAATAATTTTTATGTATCTTTCTTTTTTTGATATTAAATTTTAATGATATTTGATGTAGAAATAGACCCTTCATGTATTTAGCGAACTTTTTATTATACACTAGCCTTTCTGCACTGTGCTAATACGAGTGCGAAATGCCTTTTTTACAATACAGCGCGTTACACGCGACGTGTAGTTTTTTTTTTTTCTTTTTACATTTGTTCATACATAAAGACATTCTTATAATTACAGCATGCTATGCGCAACGTACAATGTTTAATTTTAATTTGTACATTTGTACATGTAAAAAGACATTCATTCATTTTAACCTTTTTAGTTAACAATTTGTAGAAAATTTTGCACTGCTAAATTTAAAATAAGATATTGTAAGCCTCTCAACCTGAGAAAAGAAACGCTCATAAACAAAATGAAGCTAAATATGATGTTCTTGATCGATCTCCTACATCACAAATGCCACAAAAAAGTGGAACTTTATGCCCAAATGATAGCAGACAAATTCATATGTGAATACGCAATTTAAATTGTCATCAAACTCAGTAAAAAAATTGCACAAAAAGACAACCTCGATATACATAGAGAAAACTAACCCTCTATAAGAAGAAAGATCACAATGAAATTACAAACTTGAAGTCCGAATTGGTCACCCAACAGACATCAACATATCAAATCAAACTAAGAAAATAAAATAAAATAATTTCTTGCATTCCTGAAAACGTAGAGGAAAAAAAAAAATAACACAATAGAAATTATTTTTTTAAGTAAATCATCATATTTCTCACAAACTAAACTGTCACATCCCGGCCCGGGCTCCCACCACATTCCGGGCTCAATTCCGCCGTAACACGATATTGTCCGGTTTAGGTCCCGACCACGCCCTCACGGTTTTGTTTCTGGGAACTCAGATGAGAACTTCCTAGTGGGTCACCCATCCTGAGATTGCTCTTGTCCGAACTCGCTTAATGAACTTCGAAGCCAGTGAATATACATATAAGGCTTAGATGATCCACTTTCCTGAACGATGTGGGATGTTACATAAACACCAACATTTGACAGAGAGGTAAAGATTTTAAAGAGAATTCTAATTGTTGAAGCAATAACGTGCTGATAAACGATTACTAATGTCCATAGTGCAAACGGAGAGAATAAAACTATAATTTATATTCTCTCTTGAAGGTATTCATAATATATAACCAACGAATGGTTTTATCAATAGCTGATGCAACTTCAGAAGTTGGAAGAAAGAGTACGTCCACAGAAATTACCTGATTACGTGCTAATTCAAAGTAACCCACGATCAACTTGCGTTTCCAATTCTATCTCAACCAAAATTCACCTTCCAAACACAAAAGTTCACGTCAATTCAAACTTATCATACTAAAAAAACAGAGGAAAAAAATAATCAATTTCACATGAACAAATCAATCTGAGTTCTAACTTAGCTTCTTCCCTCCTCTAAATTTGTGGAATACTCAATTTACATTTGCGAGTTCTTAGAAGTTACTTTATCTTCTCCGTTGCGGGAGTTTATTTGGGATCCTGCACGATCATGTTTCCTTTTTCCACGTTTAATTCCTTTTCTTATTTTCCTTCTGTTTAATCTCTTTTAATTTTTACTTTTTCTTACAAAAGTACCCTTAATAAAAAGTTTCTGTATTTTTTTTTTCAGTTAATGCATTTTTTTGTTTCAGGAGCATTGTTGTTCAATTATTTTTTGTGAAGTCTTGATTCATCAAAATTAACTTCTGACTTTCTAATAATAGAAATATCAATGTACAAAAAGCTACGGGTCAAAGAACTCGGCCCCACTTCAAAGGCTGGCCTAGGGCTGCAAGTTCTTGGTGCCGGCCGCGTACTGGCGTTTACAGTTTTTTCTAATTCGCAAGACTCTTAAGGCATTTGCACCGCCTCTCCTCCCTCACCCCTTCTCTCTCAAAACTCCCCGCCGCAATCAACAGCAACGATGCTCCCATTCTCTTCCACACAAACCAAACCCTCACCTCACACTCCAAATCTCTACCCTTCTTCCCACTCAATCTCTTACTCTCTCCCCTCACCTCCTTCCACTCTCAAACTCCCCAAAACCCACACCCACCTCCATCCCCATCGCCTCCGAATCCGAGCCATCGATGCAGCTCAGCCCTTCGACTACGAAACCCGGATCAAAACCAATTACCACAAATCCAACGCTCTCAAAATCGCCATCCTTGGCTTCGGAAACTTCGGTCAGTTCCTTGCCAAAGCCTTCGTCGGGCAAGGCCACACAGTCCTCGCACAATCTCGCTCCGACTACACCAAAGCCGCACAAAGCCTTGGGGTTTTGTTCTACACCGACCCGAATGATCTTTGCGAGCAACACCCAGAAGTTGTTATCTTGTGCACTTCGATTTTGTCCTCTGAAAAGGTAATCAGATCGTTCCCATTCCAGAGGCTTAAAAGAAACACTCTTTTTGTTGATGTTCTTTCGGTCAAGGAATTTCCGAGGGATTTGTTGTTGAAGTACTTGCCTGTTGAATTTGATATTCTGTGCACCCACCCAATGTTTGGACCAGAGAGTGGGAGGAACTCGTGGGCTAATCTTCCTTTTGTGTATGATAAAGTTCGGATTGGGAATAATGGCTTTAGGCTCAATAGGTGTGAGAAATTTCTAGGCATTTTTGCTAAGGAGGGGTGTAGGATGGTTGAAATGTCGTGTGCCGAACATGATAGGCATGCGGCAGGGTCGCAATTTGTGACACATACAATGGGGAGGGTGTTGGAGAGGTTTAATTTGGAGTCTTCACCAATTAATACAAAAGGGTACGAGACATTGTTGAATTTGGTGGAGAATACATCCGGGGATAGCTTTGATTTGTATTACGGGTTGTTTATGTATAACAAGAATGCAATGGAGCAGTTGGAGAGATTGGACAATGCGTTTGAGGCTCTTAAGCAAGAGTTGTTTGGGAATTTGCACGAGGTTTGTAGGAAGCAGTTGTTTGGGACCGTAGAAGCAGCAGAAGCTCCAAGAGAAGAGCCTGCCCAGCCGCAGAAATTGCTTACGGTTGGTACTCAAAACGTGCACGATGAGACTCCTAAGAAAGGTCACGAAAATGGTGCTCCTCTGAATTCTCCTTCAAGATAATATGCTCAATGTGTGAACATGTCGTGTTTCGTGTTTCATCTTTCGTCTTACTCCTTCAATTAATTGATGTATGACTTTGCGAATCATTGACTGGATTTGATGTCCTCGGGCCAGAAGCCTTGCAGCCTTGCACAATGTAGCACATGCTTTCATGTATTTAAAGTACTTAAGACATATTTCAAATTCTGTATTATTAGTTGTATGATTGATTAATGGAAACATTCTGCTCTGGGTGAAATTTCACATTCAAAGTTGATTTACTTCTGTTTAATATAAAAGTTGTTAGAAGTATTGGGTGTTAATTAATATCTTAAACCATTTGATTTGATCTTGTCCATCTGCTGCCATCTGGTTTTTCAGATGCAATCTCATGGAAAATAAATTGAAAAAAGGTGTGGGTTTGAATGTATATAATAGTAACCTATTCGAATTAGAATCCCCAAAATCTTGTAGATTTTGGTGAAATTGAAAGAAGCACGAGAAATTGGTAGCATTAGATTGTAAAACATCAGGAGCGCAACTGGTACTCTTCATATCTTCTGTTTGTTGACTGCTTATAAAATGTTGTTGCTTTTCACTGCAGATTAGTAAGGAAATGGATTAACATGCTCCGAAGTTTAAGTTTGCACACTGGAAATTGGAAAATAGTTTAGAATATATGAATTACAACTATATGGATATGGATAGCTTAGGATCTGATATGTACAACACTTCTGTCAACATTATACTTTCTGATCGTCTTTCTCGTCTTTCTTTTCATCTTTAAAACAACCAAATTATGGCTGGCTCTTGATAAGTTGATGTCCTCTATTTGTACTCGAATTGCTACATGGCCTTTGATCGCTTCCAAGTATATGTTGGCTTACTATGTGTAACAATCTTTCTTAAGAAGATGGGGAAAGTTATTTTTCTTGTACACACACTTGCAGGAACGGAGCAGCTGCACTAAAGCAAGAGCAACTATGTAGTGTAAATGATCACCCTGAAAGCAGCCCCAGGAATCAAGTGCCGATCTGGCTCTATGAAAGGAGAGTATTGTTGACGAGGAAGTTGGAGATAAGGAGAAGGAACTCATTCAGTTTAAAGTAAGTCCATGAATCAGTACTAGTCGTACTTTTTCTTGAAGAAGTGAAATACCAGCCATATTAGCGGCTCGACTAGGAACTCCGCCTGTGCTGGTTGCTCCAAACTTGTTAGTGTAATTGTCGTTGATAAGTGCGATGATTGAAACATATCGGACCCTTGTACAAGGTGGGCAGAGGACAAGAGAATAGTGAAAGAGTCAAGCAGGTAACCAGATCCATTCTTTGCTCAATCGAATTAGTAATCTATTCAGCGTTGTACCCGAATTGTTTTGTGAAGGACATTGTATCGTGTGTTGTTGGTTGTTATGGAAGGGTTGGATTCGTATGAACTTGTTCTTCGTCTAATGGTTTTTATGTTTCCAGTGTTGAAACTCTTCCTCCCTCCCTGATAAGAAAAAGGGATTACATTATTTGGTTACTGTGGGAATTTTATGCAAAGACTATTTTGGTCGTCTGGACTTGTAATCTCACTATTTTATAGTAGTAGTATAGTACTATCCGGTGTTTTATAGGGCATGCCAAACGAGTCCTTGTTTATGAGTACCACTGCATTGGGAAGCAAACCCTTGGAACGCGATATATAAGATTTTGGGTCTTGAGAAGCAAATTCTTTTCCATTTCTTCTATCAACATACTTTGAATATAGTAGATTATCCACGCCAATCCAATTCCAGACACCAAAGCATCCCTCATTGTTATAATTGGACAATTCTTAAATTCAATGACCAATATAGAAACCGTAATAATGAGCATAAGTTTTATTTGAGTTCAAACTCTTTTGTAACACTAATTCGTCAAGGCGTGTGCTCGTCGCTTGCACTTAAGGTCAAATTATCTTTTTTTTATTTTTTATTTTTTATTTTTTATTTTTATTTTTGGAGAACATGTCAAATTATCTTTGGTCAGGGCATGTGCTCGCCTCCTTGCACTTTTGGATTATCTTTTAACCAACTGAACCCAAACTAGAATCCTCTCAATTGACCAACATTAGAAGCCCCAGAGGCTGGTCCGTTTCTTGGCGCGTGCACAACACGCAGGGGAGATGGCGAGTAGCCGACAGCTTCGGCAGGCAGTGGGCCCCGCGATGCAGGGCAAGTGGCTGAGTCTGTCAAAGGGCAACGTGGCCCTCCTCAGAGCCGTTGGATTTCCAACGGCTAGTTTTTGTAGGCCGTTGGATTTCCAACAGTAAAAAAAATTTAAATTTAAATTTTAAATTGGACCGTCCGATCACAGATCAACGGTCCACGTTTATTTGACCAAAAATTTAAAAAAAAAAAAAAAAGGTCCAATGGTCAGAAATTTGACCGTTGGCCACGTGGCAGCGTGTTGGCTGTTGGATTTGATCAATTTTCAAATCCAACGGTCCAGATTAATTACAACATTAAAATTTATTAAAAATTAATTAAAAAATGTCAATTTTTTTTAAAAAAATACAGAAAAATTTTAAAAAATTAATTTTTTTTTTCTATAAATACCTAACCCTCATCTTCCACCTTACACCACATTTCAATATTTTCTACACTTTCTACACTTTCTACATTTGAATATTTTGTACACTTTGAGAGAAAAAAAATGACTTCGTGGAAGCTCAGTGAATGTTGTGTGAAAATCTTAGCGGAAATCTATTCAAAAAATAGTACATTCGGATAATGACACGTGGCGTGACGAGATTGGTTAAAAATTCTATCCGAAATTAAAACTATTTTTTTTTAATTATTTTATTAAAAAATTATTTAATATTTTAAATGGACTGGGTGCCAGCGCATTTTGTAGGGGTGGAGATCGTTTGTGCCAGCGCATTTTTAGACTAGGTGCCAGCACATTTTTTTTTGGGGTGGAGATGCTTTGGCCTATTACTGTTCATTGAGTCTGTTACTGTTCAATTAAGTGGATAAATGGGCTGGGTGCTGGCGCAAAGTGGATAGGGGTGGAGTTGCTCTTAGGAGAAATTCTTTTGTATTTCAACCGGACCACGTGTCTCTACAGTTAAGAAACAAAAACCACCATCTACACCACTTCTCTTGATTTTATCAGGTTCACCCGCCCCATTTTGTGTCTCACTCCCTCCTACACCACACGCGTAGCCCACCACATTTGGTGACCTGACACAAGAACCTCTCCAATTTGGCCCATATTTTTCAGTCGATCTCACTCGCATTTGCACAGTGTCACTAATGCCGCGAAGCACCTGATCATCCAAACCAAAGAATAAGATCCAACGGTCCGTAAGCTTCTTCCACATCCCATTTCCTCAGCTTCAGGTTCCGTCGGAAGTCCCAAAACTCTCTTCCTGTCGCTGTGCTTTGCGTAGTAGCTTCCCTTCCAACTTCAGAGCTGTTCCAAAATGCTGGCTCGCCTCGCCTCCAATCGGCTCCAGGAGATCCGTCGGATTTTCACTCAGGTTTATTTTCTCTCATTTTCCCTCTTTGTTTTCTCAGCTCCCAAACACTCCCCTAATCTCACAAATTTTCTTTTTTGAATCTTCCGCAGCCTGTCCGGTCCTTCTCCACCGCCCTCAACTACGTGAGTTCCAATCATTTCTTCATTTCGACGTGTTTTCTTTTCCGAAATTAATGCATTAAGGATTGGATTATTGATTGAAATTTGAAACTTCGAGCAGCATCTTGATTCGCCAGGAAAACAATCCAGACCTACCATGGGAATTCTCCGAAGCTAACAAGCAGAAGGTAATCCAAAATTTCTTATTTTTCATTATCTGAAATATGTTTATTTTTTCGTTTGTTTTGTTATTTCTGGAATGCCCCTTTCCATTGTAATTTGTATAAGCATATCATCCAATGGCGATGCAATGCAGTAGCTGCGGCGAAAGACGTGTAATTGTTAAAAGATGAAAAAGAGGAGAAAGATTGTGTAAATTGGTTGTCAATGTGTGCTTTAGGCTGAGCTATTTATGTCGAACATTAAAAGCCTGGATATGTGAGCAAAGTTGTGTATAAATAAAAGGTTTAGGATTTTTTTAGCACCCTCAATTCAAACATGCTGAGCTTCGAATTTACGCATTACTAGAGCCCAATGGGTCGAACGTTCCAACCACGTAGCCAAGTTGAGTTGGTAGAGAATTGGATTGTCCTGTAAGGTTTATATCTCCCCAAGTTATATATCGCATTTTAGAAAGTTTTCTTACCAATTCATATGATGATGATGTTATATAAGTTCTTGAATTGGGGTTCTGAATATAAGCTGTTGGACCATGAGCATTCATTATGTCAATTACTTGACACTTGCAAGATTATTTTTATGTTTATTGAGTTCTAAAAGGTGTTGTCTTTCCACTTTTAGGCGAAAGAGATACTATCCCATTATCCATCCAACTACAAGCAGTCTGCAGTGATTCCTCTGCTGGATCTTGCACAGCAGCAGCATGGAGGGTGGCTCCCTGTTTCAGCAATGAATGCGGTATGTTTGCATGAACGCTTTTTTTGAATGATGTTTATCTTGTTCTCACTTAAGGAGGTGTCTATAGTGCCATTCTCACAAGTTGCTAACTGTTGATTAGTTGCATCTCAACATGCGCTTGACTCATTTAGCATTTATGTTGTTCATATCTGATACACAAGATGTTATCACTTAATGCCTACGAATTTTATTGGGATTATATACGTAGATTATAAATTTGGTGTGCATTATGTGTAGTGCCATTCTTTCTGCATCAGGGGTGGATATGAGGAGCCTAGAGGGTTAGTTTCTATCAGTGTTTGTCCAAGTTAAGTATCCACTTTGTCGAATTGTTCGACTAATCTGAAATTCCGACAAACAAGTAAGGACGATTGATAATTAAAACAAGCATAGATATAATTTCAAAAACTTGAATTAAGTGTTGCCTAATAGTTTAAGAATTGTCCAACTTTTAATTCAGGTTAAGAAATTACATCTGTATTTGCTTTATTACCAATTGTCCTTGAAGTTCAGATTGGTTGGACTGGTTCTACCCCTATATTGCATCACATGTTTGTGAGATCCTAACTTTGCCCTTGAAATGCAATTTGGTCATTAGTATAATATTTTTTTTCACAGCTTAACATGTTAAAAATCTCATTTTTGTGCGGATTCGAAGTTCCAGTTATTGGAAATTAAAGAGGCTTATTTGAAGTTCCAGTTATTGGACATTAAAGAGGCTACATGAACTTTAACTTATTTTTATCGTTTCATGGATGGTCCAGGTAGCGAAGGTAATAGAAGTTGCACCTATACGTGTATATGAGGTTGCAACATTTTACTCAATGTTCAATCGGACTAAGGTAAGAAAGTTATGGATTTTATTATCTATGTATCATTTTGTCATTATGCCAATTTCTGTACCCATGTGCATTTCTTTGATTGGTTTTAGGTGGGTAAGTACCACCTTTTGGTTTGTGGCACAACACCATGTATGATTCGTGGTTCACGAGACATTGAAGCAGCTTTACTGAAACATTTAGGAGTGAAGCGCAATGGTGAGTCTTATGCAGTATATATGGCTTTGAAATCCTTTTTTCTTTTCATTTTAAACCACTCTAAGATAAAATGGCATGTACAAGTAAACTTTGTATTGGCCATGTGCAGAAGTAAGCAAGGATGGATTATTTTCTGTTGGAGAAATGGAATGCATGGTGAGTCTGTTATTAACTGTTTAGTGATCTGAACTTTCCGCTTGTGGCTAGTCTTTAGCACTGGTTTTGCATGATTCATCTCGATCAGGATAAGAATAACAGTAGAAACAAATAATACGTTGGTGAGTAGTGGTCCATGAAACCTTTATTATAACGTCTGGTGATAAAATTTAGAAAGGCAGTTCCTGAAAACTTAAGTTACAGTTTCTGACTGACAAAAGACTCATCTCATGTCAACACAAATTAAGAGTTAACGTTGGTATGGAATTTCACTAGTTGTCCTCACCATCCTGTTATGTGAACTATTCCTTGGTTGACAGCCTGTGATCCTAACTATGATAAGTAACTTCTATCAAACCTCTTGTTATCCACTTCTTTTCTGTAATGTTCCGTTCCTCCAACAATTATTGCTATTCATTTTGAATGAGTGATGCATGGACTCATATAAGTTGTTCGTTGTCTACAGGGAAGCTGTGTGAATGCTCCCATGATTACAGTCGCTGATTACTCCAATGGATCGGAGGGATATACGTACAATTACTACGTAAGTCATGACTTTATAAATTTATTATTACTTGTGTACTTTACTATTTATCAGAAAATTTTGGAATTTATATTTGTATTCTATGTCAATTTCAGGAAGATGTTACTCCAGAGCGAGTTGTGGAAATAGTTGAGAAGTTAAAAAAGGGCGAGAAGCCACCGGTAAGGAAACTAGGTTTTGTTACGTTGTGAAACTTTCCCTCTTCCTAGTTGATGGCTCTTGTTTAGATTATCTATATTGTTGCTATGAAGTGTAATACCATTTTCCCACATGTCCAGCATGGTACTCAGAATCCTAAGC